TGTAAGCTAACCCTTTAGCTTACTGTAAGCTAACCCTTTAGCTTACTGTAAGCTAACCCTTTAGCTTACTGTGCTTAAAATTTGGTTGAAAATGTTTGAAAAAGTAAAGCAGCTTTGTGAAATGGGATGATGAGTGTGATGAAGGGCTGAGAGTAGAAAAACAGCAATGAGTCAGAATAGGACAATGACTGGTACAAAGGACATTTAAGGTCGGATGAAAAGTGGTTGTAAAAAGATGAAGATGATGAATGGGTTAAAAAGGAGTAAATAAGAGAAGGCATCATAAAGGAGAAGAAAGATGAGTGGGATGAAGAGGAGGTGTGATGAGGCACGGGGGGATGAGAGGGACAGACTGGTCGTAAAGAAGAGGACGGTGAATGAAGTGGTTTATTGATGAGGATGAGGAAGATGAGTGGATAAATTGAAGGATGGATGAAGAGAATCAAATGGTTAGAGACCAAGTGGTCATGTAGAGGATGAGGAGGATGAGATGCTGTGAGGAGGAAGATTAAAACTTTGGTTTTAAACAGTCGAATTGATGGGATATTTTATAGATGAACTTTTATCATTTACTTTTAAATTAAACGTTCTTTTAAACAGTCGGCTTTTTGCCACATTGCAGTGAATGTGGATGACCAATATTTCCATCTAACTGGATCAGGCTGCCATCTTTGAAACATAAGTTTTTGTTTTCATGAAATCTTGTTTCTGTTCTCCATGTTGGGACTTTCTCCAGAGTTTGGTTTTACAGACGACTCATAAATAATAAATCCTGTTTGTGCAGCTGAAACTTGTTGTTAATGTAGAATAAACGAATCCAGAAGCCTTCCTGACATTTCCTTTAAATCCAAGCTGAAGTTGACAGTTAGGTGACGGGAGGCGAACATGGAGCCGTCTGTTGTCAGAGTTAACCACCGCCTGTCAGGCGCTGTGAGGCTCCGCTGCGCCGTCACGCCGCTGCCTCTTTGTCTCCAACATTAACGGCACAAAAGGTTCGACTGATTACCAAAAATATGAACGTCCCCAAGTCCACAGCTGTAAACTACGGTTCAGAAATTACACTTTTACAGTTTCTTTCTGATAAGCATGATCGTTAATGATGCTTTATGTGTCGTTAAAGTTTTAAAATCATGTATTTAATAATTGTCTATAAACGCTAAAGTCAGACTGTGAGTTATCATTTAATTTCTGAAATCCAACCAAATCAGACCAGAATCAAATGTTGAAATGTAAAAATTAATGAATCATTTGAACAATTATAACTTTAAATAGATTTAGTTCCAATTTTAAAACTAAAAAAAATCCTGTGAAGATATTAGAGTTGATCCAAAGTGTTTGAGGTTTAAAAAATGTAGGTTATTTAGTGTCACAATTTCAAACTAAACATTTAACTTGCTAACTAATTGTTTAGTTTGAAACTGAATATTTAGCTTCAAACTAAATGTTTGAAATTAAATATTTGGCTTCACACTAAATGTTTAGTTTGGAGCTAAATACTTTAGAGTTGAATGTTTAGTTTGAAGTTAAATTGCTAATTAAATATTTAGCTTCAAACTAAAATTTAGCTCTCTAACTAATAAGTAAGTCCAGCAGTTTTGGAGGCTCTGCCGTCCCGAGTTGGTGAAGATTTTCATGTTGACTGGCTGAGCAGGCGGTGGCTGTCAGGATACTTTTCTCTGGAAATATTAAACTGGTTTCTGCTTAATTCCGTATGAAAAGCCTCCAACATGTCTGAAGGTTTCAGATCAAACTCTGAGTCCTCGCTGTCCGGCGCAGCCAGGCGGATTTCAGCTCTGCAGGATTTTCCTCCTGCAACTGTTTGATTCAGAAAGCCTCCAGTTATAGAGGCTATAAGGCTTCGTCACATGGTGTGTGTGTGTGTGTGTGTGTGTGTGTGTGTGTGTGTGTGTGTGTGTGTGTGTGTGTGTGTGTGTGTGTGTGTGTGTGTGAACCACTTTAAAATGAAGAACAGCTCTGTGTCACTACCTGTATTTGATCTGTATTTTGCACTTCATGTTTCCTGCAGCAGAACCTGAAACCTGGCTGATGTTTCATGTTTACAGGATTGAGTAGAAACCTTTAAAAACTAAAGGTTCAGGTCTGCAGACATGGAGAAACCTGGAGGTGAAGGTTTTCTTCTGCTGAGGCCTCCAGGTGAAACCACCGCACAGCGTTCAGTTAAATGTCTCTGAACGATGTTAACGGCTCGTTTTTCAGTTCTGTCCCACCACAAAACTATGTTTATTAAATGAGCTGCAGGTTTCATTGATGCTGCAGCGGCCCGTCGCCGTCCAGCGTTATGATTATGTATTGTATGCGTATATTTCGCTGATTAGAATCAATTTTACTAGAAAGAGGAACACAAATCCTTGTTTAATATTTCTTCTCTAATTCCCTGATCTGAAATCTCATGAATCTTAGCAGCCTGGGTTTGTATTTATTTGTATAGAAAGTTGAAAATAGCTTTACTTTGTTGTCCCCTTGACTTATAAATTAGATTTTTACTTTTAGTAACATACATAAATCAACAGATTTATGTATCATCTGAATAATTTTCTCTTCTTTGTGCTGTTACTGTGTTTCTTATATCAGATAAAATGTATCATTTAGCTTTAGCATCTCATACACTCCAGACTTGGCTTTATGTTTGGGTTCAAATGTGGGTCATAAAAATACAGCCAAGGAATTTCTGTAGAAAACTACAATATCTTAAATATTTTCTCAGTGTCTTTTTGAGACTTTGTCGTTTTCCTGGGTTGGACAGCCGGTCTCCAGACTGCTGGACTTTAATCTGACCTTTAGCTTGTTGCTCATTTCAGAGAAGCAGAAACTTTACGACTTCCACCCTGCAGTAAAGACAAACTGGTGATTCTTTCAACAACCTGATATGAGTTTCTAAATGCATGTTGATGCGTTTTTGGCGAGCAGCATGGAGCCGCAGCCTGAGGAAGCGGCGCCGACACGGCGGCTCTGAAATGTGAGAGCTCATTAGCCGTTCGCACCTCGTCCACACGTCTGCAGCAGACAGAGGGAGGGAGCCTCACATGTTGGTCTGATGATGATGATGATGATGATGACTCATCGATTCCCCTTCAAATGACCGACAGCAGAAGCTCCAGAGATGAGCCTGGCTCTGGTACCGGTACCGGTTCTGGTTCTGCCAGACAGACGAAGGGTTAAACCTGATCTGATCCTGATAATCGCCGTGACGAATCAATCAACCACAAACTGGATGATAAAAGTTTTCAGTCTGGTGTTTTGGTCTCAGCTAGCAGAGATTTCATAGTTCATTTTATTTGTTGCTTCTGTTGTTTCATTTATTTTGAATATTTTAAATGTCTTCTGGTGTTAAAAGTTTATCGATAAAACTTTACCATGACAGACCTAAATGTGTTTTCACAGAACGACATGAAGTCCAGATCCAGAACTCATTCCTTCATTCTCACTCAACTGGAGACTCGGAAAGAAAACTATTATATGGAGGAACAACAAACACAGAGCAGCAATTAAGTCAAAACTGTACAAAAGTATATAAACAATTTACATTTAAGTTAAAAAAAACCTTCTTAGTCTGTGAATCTGTTCCGCTCCGTCTTTTGAGTAAGTCGCTGTGATTCTGTTTGATCGTTTTCCTGTAACTCAGAAGAATCTGGTGTTTCTTTCCAGTCTGTAAACTCCTGCAGCTCAGGTCGATCGATCACTTCTGAACCGATCAATGTTCCACCAATCAGCCTCCAGTCGACTCAATAAACCTTCTAATTCTGTCCGTTTGAGTGAAATATGACGGTAATGAACATGTGTAAATATTGCTGGCAGCTGTCTGAGGCGTTTTCCTCTGTGAACGATGAACGTCAGGCGGTTTGGACCTGCTCTCTCCTCCCAGGCTGAGCAGCTGGTTCTCAGATTTCAGCTGAGTTTTTCTTCCTGTAGAGACTAAAAGTGTGTTTTCCTTCCAGTGCCTTTCCGTGAGGCCCCTGCCTACTCCAAGCGCCGGCGGGGTCCGTCCTCTGGCAGCGGAAACGGCCAGTCCCCGTCCTCGCTGTCGGCGCCCCGGGTCCTCCTGCGCTCCAACAGCGACAACAACCTTTCTGTGAGCCAGTACCAGCAGCAGCAGCACGGTTCCCCTGGAAACTGGGCCCCCCATCTGCAGCAGCACCAGAGCCACCAACATCGGGCCCCCCAGCAGGGCCACGCGCAGCCTGGCTCCTCCGCTTTGCACCGCAGCCTGTCCCCCCAGCTGGTCCAGCAGATGCCCAGCGGCAGCCCCAATGGCAACGTGGTGGTCCGCACTATGGGGCGGGGGGCCAGGAGCCGCTCCCCCTCCCTCAGTCGGCTGGGCGAGGAGAGCCGGCGGGCTCAGACCGCACAGCGCCAGCCCAGGTGAGTCCACAACGCCGCCTGGCACCAACAGCCTCTCTGGGATTATTCTCTGGTTCCTTCAGCTGGACTCCTTATGATCTACGGTGTTTCTATAGAGCTGCAGTGAGGTCAGTTCAGAGGGATCAAAGGGTTAAAGGTCGCAGAAGAGAACGATAGGGAAGAAGAAAATAAGCAACATTTTCTCATATTGTGCAGCGCTGATATGAAGATGTTTCCATCTCTCCATTGGCACAAACATCTGATTTATTAGAGTATTCTACAGTTTCTGGTCTTCAGACAAAACTTATGATAGCAGTTATCATGTCCAGGTAATAATTCAGGATGTTTTCCACCTGACAGTCCAGTAGACTCGGTTCAATGAGGGATCAGAACTTCATCATCTGCTCCACCTCCAGCTGCTCTGGTTCTTTCTCTCTGCTCTGAGTCAAACCAACCTGTTCCCCTCCTGGCCTCTAGGGGCGCTGAACTGAGAAACACTAGAGGAAACACAAAGACCTTCAGAGTGCAACTTCCTTCTTCATGAAATGGAACTAAAAATGTAGTTGGATAATTTCTCTCTTATCTTTGGCTAAAAACCAAGACACATTTCCCCTGCTAGCGCTAGGCTAGCACGTTTGTTTGGGTAGCATTTACCCAGAATGCCCTGCGCTGCAGTGCACTTCCTGCTTTTGGGGCGGTCTCCGGTCTGCTTGTTTGTATTTGAACCTTTTCTGCTTCTGCTGGTTTCCAGATAACGTGAATGTGTTAAAGTCAAAATGTCCCAATTTTTTATTTGGCAACAGAGGAAAATCCCTTGGTTAACCTTCAGCCTAACTCAAAACACTTTTAAAAGAAAAATCTAATTGCAAAAAGAAAACAGAAGGAAGACAGCTTAAACTTCGGATCCAGTCCAGAGGTCAGGATCCGACCTCTGGACTGCATGAGGTGATGCTCTGCTGTGGTTCTTTGTTGAAGCTGTTTTTGCTTCTGGGTGGTTGGAATTTCTTGAAACCCAGCTGGAAAAAAAACTGGGAAAATTCAGCAGCTCTCCTGCCGGCTGCTGAATGCCTGCTTGTTCTTGGTCCTTATGAAGGTCAGAGCCGTTCAATGTTCTTCTGCTGTGATGAAGTGAGTCATCATCTGAACTGGAGGACACCATTATTTCTCATTCTATAAATACACACAAGAGACTTTCTGCACAGTGTCTCAATTATCTTTTAATATTAGTTTTTGTAAACCTACATGTTTTGACTGTCACTTGCTGCCATTACACCTGAATTTTCCCACTGGGGAACAATAAAGTTATTATTATTCTATTAATAAACTCACCTGCTTCAGTCTGCGAACCTCCTGTGCATAAAAATACAATTCAGATTTCAGTCACCCCCATCAATCGTGCAAATTCCTAAATACTCAAGCATAAAAACAACTAAAAAGGAAATAGAAGCAAAACAGCAAATATAAAACTGACTAAAAAGTTAGCTATGCTAACTCTAAAACACTGATCATCATTAGTTCTGCTGACGTTAAGCTGCTATTCCAACACAGAACTTAGCAAAAGCTAATTCTAAGGTGCTAAGTTCAACCATTTTCATAGGCAGCAAAGTTACCAAAAAAGCTAATGTGCTAAATGAAAAATTAGCTGTGCTATTAGCGCATTGGCAGAAGTTCCTATTGCTGAACGCTGCGAACTCACTCCACACGACGGAAGTCCTCCAGACCACCAGGTGGAGTCTGGAGCAGGTTATGTTACCTGTAAATATGCTGCCGATCAATAATGTTGAAAACGACGGCGTGTTTGAAATACACTTCCTCTAATTTTATTCCAGACATCCCGTCTTTGCTGAGGGTTTGGTCCGGTATGTTGTGTCAGTCAACTGCCCCTAGTGGTCTGGAGGACTTGTGTTTTGTGGAGCTTAAATAGTTCACAATTTAAAATTTAACAAGTTTAATAATTAGCTCTAAATTGAACATTCAGTTTAGAGCTAAATATTTAGTTTGCAAACAATATTTTTGTGTAAACAAAATAATTAGCTAGCTAAATAGTTTGCCAGTTACATATTTAGCTCGCTAACAAAAGCGTGGAGCTAAATGGTTACTTGTAAACTAAATATTCAGCGATCTTATTAAATATTTAGTTTGAAACTGTGACATATATAAATGAATGAATAATGTGGTGAAATATTAACCCCTTTTTTCGTGTCTTTACAAACTAAAAGAGCCAAATTACTGATGTTAACTTCTGATGTGTGACTAAACACTTGGTTTGAAAGATAAGAGTTGTGAATAATAAAGTTTTTGAAGTTAACGGTGCAAAAAGGCAATGGAGTAACAGAGGCAACATGATGTTTAACAGTCAGGACAACTGATCTGTGTTTGATGCAGCAAGAGATAAAGAATCACTTCTGATTTAATGTTTTTTCAACATTATGAACACAAACCAAAATGATTTTGAAATAAATGCTCCCCTCTCATACAAACACACACTGAGCCGCTGTGTGAGTTTCAGAGCTGATGCTCCTCTGCCTCCTGTTTAACTGTTCAGTCAGGATTTCCTGCTGGTTCAGATGAAAAATCTCCTGGTTTTCAGATCAGATTTTACTATGAAAGATAATTACCTCGAGGGATCCTTAACCGTTCCTCATGAACGAAGTAAAAATGCTCCAAAATGTCAAAAACCCTTCATTAACAGCAGATTTCATATTTTTAACAACACAAAATGATAAAAAAAAGAACTTTCTCACTCTGGCTTTTTCATTTTTAGGATATAAAGTATTAAATCCATAAAAGGAGAAGGTTTTTCCTGTAGTAGCTATTTTTGGTGGTGGGCTGTTTCTTCGTCTACTGTACCTACAGTTTTCACCCCCCATGGCTTCCTCTGGGAAACGTGCCACCACAAAGACTCCACTGTAGCCACAGCAACGGTTGCCATGGCTGCCTGGTTATGGGATGCCTCAGATGCTACATGTGGATGTATGCATGCACAGGTTCATTCAGAAACCTGCTCAGCATCTGTGCAGCAGATAAACGATGGGAGAGTGATGTAACTGTCAATCCAGATTAAGACACCTGATCCCTGCTTCTTCCTCCTCCTCTTCCTCCTCTTCCTCCTCCACTCTCTTGGCAGATGGGCGCATTCGGATCGCTGCCCACTCTCTGTAGCTCACACTTCTCATACGTTCCTTTACATTAAGGTGTGAGAAGAGGATGATGGAGGAAGCTGCAGTCGTCGTCTGACTGCGTGTTTCTGACTCGGCCGTAAAGCAAAATGAACAGCAGTCAGAAAGTTGAAGGTTCGATTCCAGCTTCACGTGATCCGGGTATCGCTGTGCCAACGTGTTTCTGTTAAAGACTCGGTTTGCTTTTCCAGCACCGACAGTCAAGTTGATTATTAAAAATGGCTTCTTCATTTATTATCTGTTTTTATTCTGTGTTTTTGTGAAGGATCATCATTCATGATGACCTTTAAACTGGAGCTGCAACTAATGATTATTTCAGTTTTAGTTTTTTAAATAAGAAAATAAAACTTGCATTGATGCAGGAACACGCCATTCCTTTAGAAGTGCCTGTGAAGAGCTCAACCCATTCTGCTTCCTTTAACTCCAGTGTAATGCAGACTGATCTGTCGACTGTTTGGACATTTTTAGGTAGGACCGATTTACAGAAAAATATGTTGTTTTTTGTCTTAATTGCAAAATGTTGATATTTTGTCACAGTTTTGGCTTAATTGCTGCTCTGACTGTTGTTTTTGCTGTAAATAACCTTTTTTCCGTCTGTGTGCTCTAGTTAGTGATTATTCGATTAATGTGCTAGTTGATTATTTTAATAATAGATTCTTCATCATTAATCCAATTAATCATTTCAACCTAAATTTAAACCTCATAAATTTGTCCCAGAATCCCAGCTGTAGTTTGTTAACACTGTAGTTTAAAATAAACGCTGCCGCCCCGGTCAGCTGGTCTCCTTTCCCCACCAGCATCAGGACCAAACAGCCTCTGGAGTGAGTCTGGTTGATGCCACCTGGTGGATATAAACAGCTGAGTTTATGACGATAATCGGCCCTGATGATTTGAAATCGGGGATCAGGTCCGATCTGCGGCTCTGTCTCGGCGTTTCAGGGGTTTCATGTGGAGAAACCGTCAGTCTGAGCAGAAAACATGAATCCTGATGGGATCCTGGTCGGCTGATTGGCTGTCTTAAGCATCAGCATGGGCAGGTTGCACTGATGGAACAGGAAATTGTGTTAGTATGACCTTTGACCTCGATTCCAGTGTTTTTGCTGCTTCTTTCATTGAATTGATGAAAACAAACCAAACTGTGGAGTTTTAAACCTGGTTCTGATAGAAACTGTTTATGTTTGTGATGGTAGGACCTGAAAGGCTTTTGCTGGGATTCTGACAGCTTCTAACAGTTGCTATGGAGACGCTTCTGTCATTAACATGCAGTTTTTTCCTCCATTGCTGTTGTTATCATGTGGTGGGAAGATCATTTCTCCTTCCCCATTTTGAAGAGGCATTAATAGAAATGGAAATGAAAAGTCATGGAAAACCAATAAAAATAATAAATTACCAAAATGTTTTGTTAGAAAACGTTTGGTTTTGACATTTGTTGTTTTCATCAGTTGTTTTTTGTTATATCTTCATTCTTATTACACTTCTTTCTTCTTTCGGCGGCAGATCTCTCACCTCCTACAGCTCAACAGATAAACTTTATAATCACATAATGCAGGATTTAAACCTACATGATGTTTGGATGCGTTTCATTTTTTTACCATCTGAAAATCGTTTTTTTTTTTTTTTT